AGGCTGAGCTCTGCAGCATATGCAGTAAAGAAAATCCGACAGTTTACTGATGAGGACACGGCTAAAATTGTGTACCATAGCTACTTTCATAGCGTTATGTCGTACGGCATTTTACTGTGGGGTGCTGCTGCAGAGGTTCAATCCATATTTGTGCTGCAGAAGCGGGCTGTTCGGGGTATTTGTTGTGTTTCTCCGAGGGAGTCGGTACGGAATAAGTTTAAGGAATTAAATATTATGACACTATCTGGTCAATATATTCTTGAAGCCTTGTTGTATGTCCAAAAAAATATAAACGATTTTAAAACAAATGGTGACTTTCACCAGTATAATACGCGAAATAGAACTAATTTGAGTGTACGACCAACCAGGCTCCAAAAAGATAAACCACTCCTTATATGGAAATTGTATTCGTTTTTACAACAAGCTCCCAAGCGAAATTAGAGAATTATCACTAAATAAATTCAAAGCCCTCGTTAAACGAAAATTAATCAACAAAGCTTTTTATAAATTTGAGGACTACTTAAATGATCCTAATCCTTGGGATTGAATTGCTCCAGTTCAAACAATTTGTATGACAATACTTGGCGATTAAAAAGAGTGGCGGAAAGTTTCTTGCCAGTTCTTCTTACCCGCTCTACGCCCTTGACTTGCGAACTGGTAGTAAATGTAAATTTACGATTAATTTAACTTGACGATTCAAAAGTGTACTTGGTTACCTACTTGAATAAAGATATTTTGAGTTTGAGTTTGAAATAATTTAATTTACCGCTACATTTTAATATGATCTACTAATCTTTTTTTTAAGTAAATAATCGGATTTAGTGTTCTCGTGGCACACATTCGTGACACAAGGGAAAAATGCGTGAAATGAAGAAATCCATTGGATCCACGAATCCATTCAAGCGATGATGTTGAATGAGTCGGATCACCAAATTGCCCACATCGGATGTTAGAATTGCCTCTTGCTGAACTTAACGAGCGCCCATCACGACTGGCGGCGCTTACTCCCAGTCACAGACTTACGCGATAATTTTAAGTGCAATACCACGCTGTATAAACTTGATATTTTCATACTCTAGTCTTATATATTCGCATATTATTCGTATTTTCTAACTAGGATATTTTACACCAAAAATACGTCGTCCCAAATACGTGACCTACATTAAAGGTTGTGCTACATATGTGTGTAAAAACATAAATATTCCCTACGAGTACGAACTTGTATAATAAGTTCAAGTTTAGCAGCCGTTCTCTATTTATGTTACTAAGATCATTAACTCGTATTAATTAAAACTGATGTAAGACCCTAGCGTTATTGAAGTCTTAGCGCCATCTGTCAAACCACGGTTTACTAAGTGCTTTTGTTAAAAGCCGATATTGGCTAGCTGCATGATTAAAACGTGATAATTTTTTAAAGCATTTTATTTACAAAAAAAAATATCAACATTATTGCTATATTATAATTACTATCAATACAGGCGATACATTTATAGCATATTCATGTATATCATCATCACTTACAAATCGCTTTTGCTTATATCCTAAGGTCGTACGTATCAAATGTTTCAATGTCTTTACTTAAAGGTTCAAAGTCACGCAATTTATGTAAAGGTCTTTGAACGTAGGGGTAAGTTTTTTGCAAACATATACCCAATTTTGTTTAAGGAAACGTTTAAATTGAGTATTTAACATTGTTATCCTAATTATTTTAATTTTTAATATATATTTGTATACCTTAATAAAATAGAAATAGTTGCAGTAACAATTATAATAGTGCCTCTGTTGCATGAGCATTTTGAAAACATCAATTATTTTATATGAGTTTCTTAATATCAGATACCAACTAAATCAATGTAACAAACAAAATTGGATTGTCATAAATACTTTAAAAATAGCGCGACATCAGCAATAAGGAAACTCCCTATATCGTAATTATACTATAAAGCAATACGTTTTAAAGATGTTTTATTTATTTTAATCTTCTATAGAATTCATTCACTCAAATATTACGATCTAAAATAAGATTTTTTCTTCCTAATATGCGTAATAAATTCAATACGAAAATTTTTCGCATCTAACAGATGTATCTTTATTCATCCCGCAATGTTTGTACATATATCTTATCAAATAAATATGGCTGCCAATAAAATAGGTCGATAGTCCAATATATGTCACGGTTACATATTCATATTTTTATTGCTCTTCCATAAATATTGTGTCGGGGAAGAAATACATTTTGTAGAAAAGGAATTTAGATACATTATTTGTGTAGATTAAAGTTGTATATGTTATTATTCTTATTAGTAGCTTTACTTAAGTTTATAAAAGCATTTGTCGTAATATGCTCGTTTATAATATGAATGAAAATCTGTTTTTTTTAATGTTTATTGACTTTGTACATTTTATACTAAGTTGTAAAGACACACGCAAATATGACAAACGATTTGACTACACATACTTCAAATATGAAAAATAGATTTAGGAGCATCTAAAGGTCAATAAAAAAGTCAACTTCATAAAATTTTCTTTGTGTAGAAAAGCCGTTCATGAAAATGGAATGCGATCACTCTAAATATTAAAAATATATTTAATAACATCATTAAAGGCCACATCAACCCTTTGTTCATGTCACCCTGTTAAAAAACATTGGCGAATACCAGCCCCAACTAAAAACACCCTAAGTCATTAAGGGAATCAAATAGGTGTGAAAATAGTAAATCTATTTGATTTCACCACTCGAGACTAATTGAAAACCCTGGAATTAAAACCATTTTGTTAGTATGTGCGGTAATTGCTGGGGGGAACCAGTCTCTTTTGTTTCTAAGAGGTGTTAGGGTGACGATATGTTGGTTTGTTGAGCGGGTTCACATAATAGAAAATTAGTTTTAATGACCAACATGATTTTTTTGTAAACTTTTACGTAAATTATAGTAAGTACCTAACCTAACTTAGCGTTTGTGGTGAAAATACCACACTTCATAAAGTTTGTAATGTTGTTGTTAAAGTTCAATACTTCATAAAAAAAACCTTTTTTTTTAATCTGATACATATATTTCGTAACTTCAAACCAGGCCTAATTATTTGCGCACATAAAAATAACAATCTATTGATGCACTGGGATTGTAACGCAGGTTCATTATTTATATAATTACATGCTAAGTCACGACGAAGATATAACTAGGAAATTCTTCGAAATGTCCAAAACAAAAATATCTGTATTAAATGCTAGTATATTTATTGATATTGTATATCCGCTTCGCTTGTGTCGGCAATCTGTTGCACGTCGTCGCTCGTAGGCGTGCTACGTAGTATTGATCGTAGCGCTACGTAGCACTCCCGCGATATAATGACTCTTATTTTTAGTTGCCTGCTTTATTTTTAGCATTGTGCTATTTATATTCATTCCTGTTATTTTTACATTAAAATTTCTTGTTTACACATAAACATCCACTCTAATATCAATTTATACTAATGTATTCACTTCTCGTGCTTATAAATCTAAGTATATAAGGAACAGCATGTCCATTCAAATGATTTTTTTTTTCTAATCAAAAATCCCAATTTACCAAGATGAAACTACCTAATGTATTGTTAAAATGTACTGTCAAATCATAAATTCGATTATTAACCAATTATACAATCCTTTTATTTAAAAACAATCAACAGAAGAAAAGCCCGTTAAAATTAATTAATTTTGAGGCTTGGCGAGTTTTATTTATAGATTTGTAATTTAAGGAAAAGGGACTGCTATTATTTTCAACACTTGCGACCCTCCATGGCTCGAGTAGATTGATTTGACAGTACCCTCATTCACCATTCTTTTGATTTATCGTCCGCTTGTTCGCGAATGACCGAGTAGGTCATTAAAATGTTATCAACAAGGTCATATTATGGAGTGTGTCATGGACAGTGAGTTAACTCCAAAAGTTCACAGGTTTTTAACCTACTGACCTATACTAAATTACGCAATAAGCAATACTTTGTTCGTTTGTTTTCACATTTATTTCCTTTAAAAAAAGAGTTTTAATCAAAATAAGTTATTTAACAGTCAATGTAAATGAGCAAAAAATATTTTTTTATTATTTTCTGTTTTTTTTATTTATTTAAAAAAATATATTTCGTTTACAAAAAAATGACAATTTTGTTTAATAACTATGTTTGTGTATGTAAGCTGTTTTATTTGATCTAAATAACTCAATTACTTGAGATATAGATAAATAATAATTAACATAAATTAGGAATAAGATTACAGTAGTTAACAAATATTCCTAAAATTTGTTGAAATTTGGTTTTACCAGCTAATCCATCAATTGCGTAATTTCAAACGTCAATTACGGGAAGTACTGAATCGATCACATTTTAACAAATACGAAGGGATCCAATGTAATTTGCTGCGATAGGATCATTACAAAGGTCAAACTGTCATTTGCTCATCGATCTATGTTCATTAGGAATAAATGTTTTCAATAAACCCCGTATTCATTTTGTTAATCCTTTTTGTCCAGTCATCCTGAAATTATGAATAAAGCTAAGATATTTTTAGTTCTGTACACTAGGAATGTCTCACTGAAACAATTATTATTTGTTTGCTAATTAACACATTCATTATATTTAAATTAGGTTAATTTGTAGTTTGAGATGTTGTTCTTAATTTTATTATTTCATGCTTATCTGGAAATGTACATACTACACTGATTTAAAATATAAAATGTATTTATTAGTCGTAAACATGTCGTACTCACAAGTTATGAATTGTTTGTTATATTTTAAGTAATGATCTTTAGAAAAATAATACGTAGTTTTTATGATATATTCATAATTATAATCCGTGGCATGAAAACATTCAGTGCGATGGGTTTCGTTAAATTATTCACAAACGACTTTCCGCCCAGTATAAAAACCTGTTTATTTATGAGAACGTGAGCTGAATTATACCTTAATCTACTGTGCGCACTGTTTATTTTGTATGTAATAACTCTGTATTTCATTAAAATGCAGAAATGAAAACAATTTTAATTAAAAGCAGGCACAACTACGTTAGTTATTAACATGTTTCTTACGGCAGGCTATTGATTAAATAACGTATTTATAAAATAAGTGTAATTGGAATCACCCGAAGGTATCTTACTTTAAATTATTCAAATGTTTACTAAAACATATGTTTTGTGTTACATTTTCCTTTTCTTCATGACTAAATCATAAAAAGATGTCAATAAACACATTCAATATAAAAAAATCCTACACTTAACAATATTTATATTTTGCCGCACAGGAAAATTTCCTGAAATGAGTATAATTTCATCCATTATCCCGTTGCTTGGGAAGGCGGAGAATGGTCCTCTAGGGGGCTCTCAAAAACAATTTCATTTTGAGGGCAGAAACACGAAAGGAATGAGTGCACACTTCTTGAGAGCCCTCACGGAAATGCTACGTGCAATTATCATGCATTTTTGGACACCCTTATCGTCTGGGGTTGTGCAATAAATAAATTATAATCGCAGTAACCTCTCAATGTGGATCTTGGATTTCGGAGAATTTTATTCGAGCGCGGAAAACCGAATAAATCTGTGGCGCTACAACCTTTAGGTCCGGGCCTTAGATTTATGTATCTGTTTTACGATCATTTGTTTATATAATAGGCTAGTAGGTGATCAGCCTCCTGTGCCTGACGCACGCCGTCGACTTTTTGGGTCTAAGGCAAGCCAGTTTCCTCACGATGTTTTCCTTCGCCGTTCGAGCGAATGTTAAATGCGCACATAGAAAGAAAGTCTATTGGTGCACAGTAGAGGATCGAACCTACGACATCAGCGATGAGAGTCGCACGTTCAAGCCACTAGGCCAACACTGCTCTGGAAAACAGATGTTACTCGAACTATATCTAAACTGAACTATATATAACAAAATAGTATTTCTTTTAAACACTATCTACAGAATCGTGTAGGTAATGGCTTGCAGTATTTCATAGGTGGTGGTTTGCATTTTGTTATACGTGAGCTACTCGTTTGAACCCAGTCGCGTATAAAAATATGCGTCTGTTATGTCGATGATCTTTTATATCAGCAAGAAAATTAGCAGCCTTCTGTGTGATCATGAAATGGTTATTGTTATATTTGATAATGCACGCGTAAAGTCTAGAGTTACAAGCACTACCTACGCACTACCTTCCTACTGTACTACCCTTACTAATCAAGCTTCAGCGGTTACCAAATACTATATTTATTACTCAAATTCTATAAATACCTAAATAAGTTTCAACTTTGTTCGTTAATATCTAATATCGAATATTTGAGAATTGCCCTCGTGGGCACACCGCATACTATCCTAACCTGGAATGTTCGGGATTTCTGAAGTGACTATCCCCTTACCCTATCAAGATAAATGGCATTCTATTATATTCACATTCTTCGTTGAATTAATTTCATGCTTTTGAGTATTGGATTTAGTTTATGTATAAATATAACTATTCACTTTCCGATTCATAAGGGGCCTTTTAAAACGTAGACTTCAATGATACCTTGTTTGTATCATCACTGTAATGAATTTTTTTATTTTTTCAAATTAATAACCATGGTGACACACACATTTTTATAAGCCTGAATAAGATTATACGTTTCTTATTGTTTTTTAGATATTGTGTACATTAGTTCTTTATTTTTTAATACGATTAAACTTCTTTATAATGTGATATGTAGTATACGTACCTGAGTACGAGACTTCTAAAAATAAATAGACATTGAATATAAAACGATTATCTTAAAAAAAAAATTTTTTCGTTTCTGTTATCAGTTTGTACAAATTTGTGTAGTTTGCAATAGGTTTTAATAGTTTATTTTGTAAGTTATGGTTTTTAAACGATTTTTGTTTTTCATTTCTAAGAACCTGTTCCTAAGCACTTATGTCAAATTGTACACCTCTTCTATTAAAGTCTAGTCGACAAGTTGAAAATGGAACAAAATAGAGATACTGCTCTTAAAATTATGTGCGATAGCTCATTTGAACCGGAATGACGCCTAGAAAAATGTGCTAAAAGCGTGTATTAGCACATAAAAAATTGCAAAAGTTATAGACCATTAAAGATGAAAAAAAATGGAATTTAGTTTTTTGCCAATATTTAATAAACTATTAATATTTAAGAAATTTCAAATAAAGATTCTGAAAGAGGAGGAAATTTCCAATAAAAAACTCTCAGCTCCCGGAACTCTATCTCCATTATTTATAACTTTAATTTAACGCTGAAAATAGGTCTGTGCGTGACATTTTTAGGATTCGCGCGTGGCGTCAAAAGCGACTACGGCACATTAATTAATTTATTTAAGGTATTGAATATTTTTTTTTAATTTGAAAAAATTATGGTGTGTTCTGAACACTATAATTAATTTATTCCCGTTGGAAATTTTACTTAAAGTTAATTTTTCAACAAGTTAAATAATTGTTAACTAACGAAATTTTCTCGAACGACCGTCTTAATTGTAAGTGAAAAAAATGTTTTAATAATGGTCGTAAAAATATTTCGCTTCGTAGAGCCTTTCTTACATACATACTTAACAAGATCGTGCCATAAAAGTTAAAGAAATATTTATTCTTTGTTTATAACAATTTTTTTACTTAAACAAAAACTTAAAAATCCAAGTAATGTTGTTAAAAAATTTTTTTTTTCTACATCATCATATTATCGTTTTTATATTAATACAAGATATTTATTGATTTGCAAAAAAAAAATTCCCGCCATTTGTTGATAATTTTTTTAAACAAATTGATTAAATCAATTGTTTTAAAAAAAAATTTCCAACTTTATTACATTACAAATATTATGATTGTTTAAAAAAAAAATTCCTTAATAACATATTTTAATTGTTTATAATCGTTTTTTTATATTTCTATTGTTTAAATAATTAGTTAAGAAATTTTTTTTTTCTAAAAATCATAATTCACAATCCTCTATAAAGTAACAGAAAAAAAATTTTTTTTAATCAACAATTCTATTGTTTATTAACTTACCAATTTGTTATAAACAAATGTTCAACTTTTTTATATTTTTTTTCTAAAACTTCTAAAATTAACAAAAACAACCATATATAACAAAATATAGAAAAACATTTTTTTAAATTTTTTGATTATCATGAATATTACTTTTATTAAAAAAAAATTTTTTTTTTTTTATAGACTTTGTTATATATGTTCGTTTTTGTTAATTTTAGAAGTTTTAGAAAAAAAATATAAAAAAGTTGAACATTTGTTTATAACAAATTGGTAAGTTAATAAACAATAGAATTGTTGATTAAAAAAAAAAATTTTTTTGTTACTTTATAGAGGACTGTCAATTATGATTTTTAGAAAAAAAAAATTTCTTAACTAATTATTTAAACAATAGAAATATAAAAAAACGATTATAAACAATTAAAATATGTTATTAAGGAATTTTTTTTTAAACAATCATAATATTTGTAATGTAATAAAGTTGTGAAAATTTTTTTTTAAAACAATTGATTTAATCAATTTGTTTAAAAAAAATTATCAACAAATGGCGGGAAATTTTTTTTGCAAATCAATAAATATCTTGTATTAATATAAAAACGATAATATGATGATTTAGAAAAAAAAAAAAATTTTTTAACAACATTACTTGGATTTTTAAGTTTTTGTTTAAGTAAAAAAATTGTTATAAACAAAGTATAAATATTTCTTTAACTTTTATGGAACGATCTTGTTAAGTATGTATGTAAGAAAGGCTCTACGAAGCGAAATATTTTTACGACCATTATTAAAACATTTTTTTCACTTACAATTAAGACGGTCGTTCGAGAAAATTTCGTTAGTTAACAATTATTTAACTTGTTGAAAAATTAACTTTAAGTAAAATTTCCAACGGGAATAAATTAATTATAGTGTTCAGAACACACCATAATTTTTTCAAATTTAAAAAAAATATTCAATACCTTAAATAAATTAATTAATGTGCCGTAGTCGCTTTTGACGCCACGCGCGAATCCTAAAAATGTCACGCACAGACCTATTTTCAGCGTTAAATTAAAGTTATAAATAATGGAGATAGAGTTCCGGGAGCTGAGAGTTTTTTATTGGAAATTTCCTCCTCTTTCAGAATCTTTATTTGAAATTTCTTAAATATTAATAGTTTATTAAATATTGGCAAAAAACTAAATTCCATTTTTTTCATCTTTAATGGTCTATAACTTTTGCAATTTTTTATGTGCTAATACACGCTTTTAGCACATTTTTCTAGGCGTCATTCCGGTTCGAATGAGCTATCGCACATAATTTTAAGAGCAGTATCTCTATTTTGTTCCATTTTCAACTTGTCGACTAGACTATTAAAGGCGACAGAAATCCGCCGAGATTACATTGTGTTGGATTTATCCAATATTTTTCTATTAAATATAGAATTTCTCTGAATACGTGAACCTCCTCGGGGGTTTGCCGAATACAACAGGTTATGTCTGTTGTTATATTTATTGCTTACGGTCGGTTCCTTCGTATATTGTTTGAGGGAAATGCTTCAGTGAAATTGGGTATTATCTGTGAAATTTCTTATACATTTGTTTTATATTACTTTTGTTATACTGATTACTTTAAAATTGTTTAACTTCAATTTATTATTTATAATCATACATTTTCTATAAATAGCAATGGAATGTATTACACATAATTATTTGTGCATGAGCTATGAAGCGATTTTATTTTTAATTAATAGTGTTTAACTTAAATATGTAATTATAGTAGGTATTATTCAAGTAATGATTTATGCAAAGATTAGTTTTATTTTTTCACAATTAAAAGGCGCTTTTATTTATTCGTGTGTTGTATTGGCTTGAGTAAATTGAAGTAGCTAATTTTTTTATTTCTTTGTTTCAGGGTGAAAAAGACAACGGCAAGAATTGTATATTATCCTGCGAGAAAAGGAAAGCTGATGATGGAGACATTAACAAAGATCTCAAAAAGGTTAGTTGAATCATGTAAATATTATATTTGTTTGTTTTTTATATAAAAGCGAAACAAAAAAATTCGTAGAGTTAAAAGAAAATTAAATAAGTTAAATAGGGAAAAAAGGGTTCATGCCATCGTTACAGAGATAGTGACAAATTTAAGTATTCATAAGTGCCTCTTAATATATATAGTAAATGTCAATTCTACTTTATTAATGAGCTTTGAAGGAATCTTTACCTAAAATACAGTTTTGCAAGAAGAAAGAGAGGCAACACCTTCGTGTCCTTTCACAGTAAAGATGTACCGATAAATAGAATTGCTTATGCATGCATCGCTCGCCGAAAGCGTGTGGGCTGCGATAAGACCGATATTGCTACGTAAACGAATGTAATGGAGACATTATATTTGTACTATCCATTTACAATGTGCGTTCGAATCGGTTCTGTCACGCTACTAGGCGTGAACCTATCATAGACCTTACGACCATGTAATAGAGCTGATTTTATCGTGAATTTTAAACGAGGCCAGACAAAGGGTTGATTCAGTTCGATTTAGATTTAATTAAGTGAATACTGAGTCAATGGCGATGAGATTTCCATTGTGATAGCAATATTTATTGGTTAGAAAGCGTTCGCCCAGTATCCTTTTCGCTATAAAGACGGAGGTTTATGAAGAGGAAAATAACAATTTTTGTATTTCATATTGACAGAACGCATATAGAACGAGAACGCAAATAGAGTAGGGGTTGAGATTCAAGATCGCGTTTTAACTAAAATTTAAAACTTTTGTTGAAAATAAACCTTATTCTATCAGTTTAAGATTCTATTTAAAACAAATGGATCTTGCAACATGCAACGAATCTGAAACCATAATGAAAGTGCATTTTAAGCCCCAATTGGACCCATTAAGCGGGGCTGCTGTAGCCCCGCTTAATGGGTCACAAATATGTATTGAAAATTTCGTAAAAATAGTTTAAATAATTGGAAACGTATTTCAATTAGAAAAATAACTTTATTGACACTACAATGCCCGTATTTAGATATCAAAGTTTATGAAACATTATTTACAATAGTTTCGCAGTATAATAAAGGAAAAGAAGGAAGTGATTAATTTACATGATACTATAATGATACATGACGTAGTGGCACGAGTAAGACAGACATGCAAAACTTTCAATTGCACACATTCACCGGCAAAGTGCCAAATAGCCGGTGTCAAATTGGTGCAACGCCAGTGCATCGAATTGTTCCCACATACCTCACTGTTACGCAAACTATTATCTAATGCATGTCTCGATCACCACTCCCTATACTGTGCAGTAGCTATAATATGGTCTTTAAGTTCAACTCCCGTATGACAAAAACTCATTGGATTTACCCTAGGATTCGTCAAACATTATTTCGTATTTCTATTGTAATTTCTTTATTATAGCACTTTTTACTTTACTCGTCTAAAAATCATATGTATCCAATTAAACTCCATTAATATAAAACAACTCAAGAATAGCTATTTCTTTCTATAACATGTTATATAACAACTTATTTATTAGCTTATGTTTACGACATTAGCCTGTACTTAAATCCAATTAGTCAGGATTTTGATAAATTTTATTTAAAAAATCTAAAAAACAAAGCAAAACTAAAGTCGCTGTACTTCAGTTAGTCCAAACTTTTCCTCGGTCCTCCTATCTAAGGGTCACTTTGTTCATTAATTCTGAAGGTCTTTTCGAAAACGTATTTATCCCTTATTTAAATGTATCGGGTTTTAGAGGACCTTATTAAAGGTCTGTTGAGTTTATTTACCCGGATACAAAGATCCTGTTTGAATTCCCCAGGTATCTTATATACATTGCAACCAAGAAATTCAGCTGACTTTAATTTCATGCATTTTATGTCACTTCAAGAGATTTAAATTTGTAATTAAACTCAGATTTCATAATATATCTCTTTAAGTAAAAGACATAATTCTTCATATATAACTTTAATAATTCTTGTTACCAAATAGATTTCAGCCAAATATTTCTACAAATTCCCATAAAAGGGCGTTATTTACATCGTTTGTTAAACTATTACATTTCAACTCTGGCATTCCCGTCAAAGTTCCAACATTGGTATGAGTAAAAAGCTCATAACAACGCGTAGATTGTTTCGTTTTTAAAACTTTTCTCATCTCGTCCCTCGCAACGAAGTTTTTATAAGCGATTCTTGCGAACAATACGCCTGATGTTACATCGATTCAATATTCCACACTTTTTACTCCACTCAGCGGGTGCTTGGGGTTTTATTGCAATGATAATGAATTACGGCGTTGTGTAATTTATTTTGAATAATAGTAGGGAAAAAGTATGTATAATACGTAACTGTTAATTAGTAAGTTTGACAAGTGATGCATTGATTGCATTGACGTTAAGGGCCTATTTTTGTAACACATTTTGAGATCATCGGAAAGGAATAATTTAGATTATAAGGTTATTTACGAGTAATAAAAGTGACAATGGTTAAAAACTGTATTCGTAGACTGGTCTCATACTTAGATAGTCAGGGAAGGTTCGGGGTTAAGTAACTGTTCTAGATCGTTAAATAAATATAAAAAATGTGAGCGGTCACGGGACGCCTGGCAGATGTGAAACATCGACATTATTTTGTAAAAGTAATATGCAGAAAAGAATAGATTGTGATAGGAACTAAATATGTCATAATGATAAAATAAAGTATTACGATTTTTTTTCCAGATAACGATGACTATTTATTGAATAAACATTATTTTCATTAAATACAAAAATTAACGAATTTATTTCAAATCGTAACTACTTAATTCGTTTAATCAGTGACTTTGAAATACACACACCGTACACACTACTGCATATAGACTGTATATCATCATATAGAGGGGCGACGCGTCGCCACGGCATGCGTCGCCACGCCAGAAATCGGTTTTACGTGCGGCTATAGATGTTTCACATCAAAAATCCATAGACTCTTAAAAATAGATTATATATAACGTAATTTTTTAATGTTTTTTGTTACAGGCAAAACTAGAGACAAAAGCATTAAAGGCAAAAAGACCTGGTTTTACGGACGACAGATACAATGAAACATCTTACTATATGGAAAATGGTAAGTCCTATTTCAGTATTCATTGTCTACGACATTAGTATTCGTTTAAGGCTGGCATCGTGCCCAAGACTGATAGCCCGGATGTCCATGGACAGCGGTGATCACTAACCATGGCGACCGGTCAGCTCAATTTCGCTGCTATATCAAAAAAAAAACACACAGTTTATTCTCGAGGTTGTGATCCGGGACGTACGAGCCTATTACTTTAGATAAAGCAAGATAGAAGCAATTTTCTATAAATCACAAGAATAAATAAATTAGACGAACTGTAAACTATTCAGGAGTCTGTATATATGTATATAAATGAGTATTTATCGTTGTCATGTCTTGGAACGATTAGTATTTTGCACAAATTTTAGAAAATCTGAGCGCGTCTTATTCTCTATTAAAATTTATTTACGAGCTGTGTGATTACGATTCTGCACTCCAGAACATAAAGTGAAGAATCAGAAATATAAAAGCAAATTAAGTGGAAAATATGAGACGGTACGCTGGACTTCAGCCAACTTCACCTGAGAATGGCACACTGCATTGCGAAGCGTTTGTACTTAACAAACTTTTAATAGAAGTGCAATTACTTTATTACCATTGTTCGTTCAAGCAATTGTTTAGTGAACAAGTTTGTAGATGTTCAGGAATTCCTTGGGTTCCCTAAAAGCGTCGATACTTAACGGAATGTCTGTGTATTTTATTCAAAGTATAAAAATAGACGTTGTAATGTAACCCCGTTAACCGCTTTAATTAATTTAAAAGCAAGCATGTTATAAAAGTTACTCTGTGCCAAGAATAAATTGTATAATAATTGCCGGGTCACGATTATTCGGCAAAATTTTTCAATCCATTTTAAATATGAAAATGGCCTAACCTATCTTGTTCTTGAAAACTTACTGCAATGCTGTTGTTTCATCGTTAAATTGCACCCTTGAGAAGTTTAATAGATTCATCGCAATTATTTAGTTGAAATATTTTCCTTCAAATATTTGTATTCAATGTATTTGTAAGCCTTTTCAGGTCTGATTAAATGTACATCCAATACTAACATCTGAATTCAAAATCCTCATATTGCAGGACTCAGGAAAGTGTACCCATATTACTTCACATTTACCACCTTCACAAAAGGCAGATGGGTCGGCGAGAAAATTCTCGATGTCTTCGCGAGGGAATTCAGGGCGCATCCCGCGGCCGAATACGAAAGGTGCATCAGAGCTGGCACCCTCACGGTCAACTATGAAAGAGTTGACCCCGATTACAGACTCAAACACAACGATCTACTAGCTAACGTTGTCCATAGGTACTATATCTATAATTAGCGAAGCCATAATTTGTAGATAGCTTACGATATCTAGTATGTCATCACACGAGACTCGATCAAACATATTGACACTCTGTTAGATTAGCTCCGTTAAGTTCCCGTTTATCTTAACCAATCTTCCTTCTACTCACACGGGATCGTATGTATTTGGAACTTAGATTTTCTACTAACAATGCTTGTTGAATTTCTAAGTTTACCTTCCATACGCTTGTAAATACAAGCTTTTAAGTTGTGAAATTCAAAATTTGCCATCAAACCAGCATGCGAGCGCTGAGCTTCCTGGATACAGGTTCCGTCATGGATTCGATATTTATTATATCTGTCATGAACCTTCACATAATGTTATGTTGACTGAGCTATTGTTATGCAATTATTCCTATTCTATTACTCCTGACAATTTAAAAACACTTGGAGTGTCGTGACTTTAAAATAACAAACGAACGGGTGAAAACTCGTGTTGCGTTGAACCCTGTGGTCATATGTCATCAGAGAATTAAAGAAAAAAGAAAAGGGAATTATTGAGTTCCATCACACGGTGACCTTTCGCCTGACGTGTGTATCGTTGCAGGCACGAAGTACCAGTGACGAGCCAACCCATCAACCTCGTACATATCGACGAGGACATAGTGGTTGTCAACAAACCAGCCTCTATTCCCGTAAGTGGCAAATGAGACAGCCATTTGGTTATGCTTTTTTTCATTATCACTTCCTTCTTTGCATGCTTAGATTAACTCTAGTTTTAAGGCTTGAACACTTGTGGTAAGTATTCACTTATGTGTGCAGTAAGCTATGTATTGCTATGTAGATAAAATCATTTAGAGACATTTTCATAATTCTTTTATTTTGCTATACATTTTTCGTCTAAAAGACTTTTACAACCCTTTTGCGGCACAAAAAGTTTCAAATTCGAACATGACATGACTTTAAAAGCACATAAGTTGCGGTTAAAATCCGCTTTCCTTCCAAAGCTTCAAAGTCCTTTGACGTATAAAGCGGTCCCTTTGCATGAAATATTCCATTCTGTGATGGAGTGCCTTTAATAATACCGTCTCTTGTCACTTTCATATCGACTTTTAGTACAGGGGTGTCTTTATTATGACTTTAATGTTCTCGGTACGATGTTTTTGACGTGCCGAAATTAAGTTACTCGCGTTTTCTTATTAAAAACATTTTTCAAATTTTGAGGCGGATTATTATTGCAAGATGAAAATTCAAGATGATTATATGTTTCAAGTGTAATTCAAAAGCTTGCTTTGTTTAATATGTAAATAAAACTCTGTTGAAATAATATAGGAAACGCCAACATACTGTAGTAAAATTGTATCCCAATTTGAGTTCGATAGGTGAACCAGATCCGGAATTTTGGTGAGAAATTCTTTGCCTAAAGATAAAACGAATATAAATTGAGAATGCAGACAAAAGTCTGTTCAAACGTTTTGAAATAAAACCTTTAATAACCCGGTTTTACGATAGAACTAAGTAAAAGCTAATTCATGTAATATAGTAAAAAATAAATCTTTTATATGAAAGTGCTCATTTAACAGAATAAAACGTTAATGAAACATTATACGGACAGTACGACTTTACAGATAAATTCCTTATAAGCTATTAATAAAATAATTCACCACTTAACACAAGTCAAAACATAAATAAAAGATCACTTAATTTATGGCCTGAAATCAAAAAGAGGATAAAACCAATAATGATGTGTAGCTAATAATTAAAAAAGAAACATAAAACCTGTTTCTTTTTAAAGAAGACATTGCATGATGGCTCCCATCTCTTTAGATGGTTTAGTAAAATAAAATACAGGCTGTTCTCAATTTCTTTAACATATTAACCATAGTCAAAACTTAACATTAAATCAAGAATTTTGTGAAACTTCAAATATCTGCAAAAACTAAACACTTTTAATTAAAAAAAATATATTCAGATGCTCGCTAAAACTGTCTTTATAATGATATTGTGTCTATAAGTGCGCGTGTAAAATTTACAACATATTATTACGTTCTCAAAACACGTCTTACATCTTATTGTTTCAATAGAACATCAGTAATGTATAATTTAAATCAAACTTTTCATCGATTTAATTCATTACATTGTACATAACGTAACGTTTGACGGCTGTAAATTTTTGTTTAAATTCGTAGTACTCACTTATTCCTAACACATCCTGTATATCGCCTCAAGCAAAAATAATAAGTTGCGTACAATATTGGCTATTTCGCTGCGCTTATCAGTCGCCTCGGGGCTCTTTAATAAATTAACGTAATCAAGAAACACATAATGATATAAAAAGAAATACCTTCATGTAGATGTCTCAGTTATTTATTAGTTTGAGTTTACTGAATGACGGTGATTTTTATTCGTTTGGTATGCAACAAGCAATATTTTATTGGACTAAAATTTATTTTAAAGTCAAATACAATAGCACATTAATATAGAATGAAATTTAAAGTTTATTGTATTAAAATATATATAATAGCCATCCCGACGGACGATGATCCTTATTACTTTAAAATAGATCGAATCGTAAAATAAGAAAATATTTTAACTTACATATATTGCAAAAGTTTTTTTTAAATCATTTGATCAAAATGGTCCGTTTTAAAAACAACGTGATTGTTGTGATATCTGCTGTTATTATAAAAAAAAACAATTAAGTAAAAGGTCTATACCCCTCATGGTCCGTCATTCGTAAGAATTAGTCACTGACAAATATGTAATTAGCATTCCATACGTTAACTTCATATGAATTTCGTCGCCTCAGTAGTACCGCCTTAAATTAACAGAACGCAATATTCTAAGTAATATGAGTGGCCGAGACAGATCGATTTGATTGATACAATGCGTATTCTGAGAATTTGAGACGGTATACACTGATTTATTACTTCTTTTGATTGTCAATATAATTGCGAGGTGATAAAAGCATGTTATTCCCTATGGACAGCCAATATTTTTTGGACGTAAAAAGTTGAAACTCCTGCAACGCCACGTCAAAGGAAATTATTTATATATACATGTATAGCACTTTTTAATCATTATTTATCCTTCCATCGGAAAGTAGTTCCTAGAAGAGTCGAAATAATTATTCGTTTAAACAAGTGTATTAGACTATTATTTAGTATTATAAAAAAATCAAAATACTGTTCATTTGTCATTGATATTGTAAACAGTTTGTAAAAATACTTTATTCATAGTAATCTAAGTGTCCTTGATTATATACTTTGATAGATACGGCTTCTCAGAGGATTATTCGATTACACACGACACCTATTTACAAACCTACATACGTTGTATAAGATTTGTTCTTCTGTAGGTGTGGTTTTATTAAATTATCTGTAATGATATTACGTCGGGTAAAGCAAATCTCTTTTAACATTACCTCAACAAATATAATTTTAATAATTGAAATCAATATTATACCGGACATTCTTCGAAATGACTTTAAAATTTAATCCGTTAGGGCAGGCAAAATCTCTGTATTGCGATGCTAAAACGATGTGCAAGAAAAGTACCAGCTCTGAAGTCACGACTTCTTGATATAAATATATGATTTTGTCGGCAAAATTCGCCAGCATTTAAATCTCTATGAAAGAGTGCCCCATACATATTCACTTCACTAGTGTTTACCAGCATACGTTCACATTGATTTGAATTTTAATGCATTTTGACCCCTTTAGTATAGACACCAACATACTGAACATCACAAAATGAAATACAAAAATTTTGACATTTATATTTTGAATTTATGTTTAAGGTGATTATCGCTTTAATTATGTATAATGAGTATAAATGTAAATAAATAAAAGTTTGAAATAATCAAATAACAATGATAAGGTATGAAGTGATTGTGTAATGCTAGCGTTCGACGGGGCAATCCAACATCTTTGGACAAAATAGCTCCTTTGTTTTGTCCTATTTTTCCAAACCTTTTCTTACACCCCTAATCTGCCCTAACCCAATTTAATACCCTATTTACGCCTACTGTCCTAGTAAGCAATAATAGGCGGTTAGAGTCATTGTTTCCAAATTAAAGCCATTCAATCGCGCAATCAAAACTTGAATAGTTTCTTTGTAATTGGAGTCCGCCCCGTTGGACGCTTGAGTTGAGCAGACACTCAGTTCGTACTTACTTTGGGCCAGGCACGAGACCCCCGTGCTCGCTTGTCCCTTGCGCATCATTTACGCTGACGAGGACCTACTCGTGCTAGACAAGCCATGCTCGCTGCCGGTGAGTCTTACCTTACACCTTGAGAGACTGGGCAAGCATGATTCAAAGGATTTTCGACTTTAAATGCCCGATTTTGAAGCTTCACTAAACAATACTTCTCTCAATACATACAGAAGATGCCATTGCATGTTTTTCTTTAGGTTACTTGATTTTTTAAGATAGTGAGTATACTTTTTTATCAATAGAACTTACCGGATGTATGACTAGAACTTATGTACTAGAATACAAAAAATAGATTAGGTATTTTTTATGAAACGTTTAATAATTAAAATTTATTGAAAGCCACAAATATATGGGACCAGTTTAGAAAATTCAATTATAATTTACTTTTTAGTACTCTAATAACACGATTTATCTATGCATGAGTTATTCTTAAATATTTAATAAGATATAATCTTTATTTCAAATCACCTTTATATATATTTTTATACCTTTATCGTATATAAATCTTAGTAACAAAACTAGATAATTTCGATTTGAGGCTTTTCGGCTATCATGATATGAGGTCTCATTCTTTAACTCCGAATCTAAAAGCATTTAAGATATTTAAGTTCAGAAAGGCTTTGTCAAATGGAACACGAAGACGAATGGAATTTTAAAATAAGGGTATCCATGGCGCGTCTGTGAACGCTGTTCTTTGTAAAAAATTCAATTTGAAACTCCACAATCTGATTTGCAAGCGAAATTTCAGTTGCGTTGTCTTTTCTAACCAATTCATTTGAAATTATTTTATTCTCCTTTATTATGGGTAGATAGATATATATGTTAATGACTTAATTGACTAGAGTCAAACATATTCTGTCTCAATTTTTCAAAAGTGAAACTATTTTCGTGGAACTCGTTAACTCCTCGTTAATAAGAGAAGACTTTTATTTAATATTGTTTATACTTTGCATGCTAATTAACACATCACAAATTAAATCCCACTAAGCTTTATGAGCTTTTAGTTTGCTTCGCTTCATTCACCGGCTTGTATTAACATTGCACAAAGATAATATAAGTTAGTTATTGGTTATAAAATATTATTTATTTAGAACCCTTATTCATATTATTGCCTCAAATAGCTATTGAATGTCTTGCCTTTATCACTCTTGTGTCACTTTGAATTTATTTCCATATTTGTAGCGTTAATGTTTAATATTATATGAGTTTGGTAGAATTGTAAATTGGACTTAATGTTATTTTCATATTACCTGTACATTATATTATTGAAATTAGAAAGCTTAGTACCAAGTATAACGGCTTCGAATATATAAGGTATGATAAACGTGAAGACTTCAAAACAAAACGAATGTTATGAAGTATTGCTTTAATATTTACTATAAAAAAAATGTTTTTGCTTCAATTGTAATAGAATTAGATTATACTATGTTATAATAAAGACCTTGTAAATGATCGATATTCCTACTATAAGAACTGTATTTTAAAATCATTACTGAGCAGGTACAGGATAAGTAATATGTAAAATCGAGTACAGCGTGCACATGCTTAAATTTAAATAAAATAAACATCACAGGTTCACCCTTGTGGCCGGTATAGGCACAACACAGTGGTATTTATCCTCGCCAAGGAGTACAACTTGAAGAACTTGAGGACCATTCACAGACTCGACAGGCTCACGTCAGGTTAGTTGAAATGCACACACTTAATCTTAATTGAGTGGATATCTGTAACTTCATCTTTAGTATTTATTAGGTGTTTTCCTTAGTAATTGCGAGAATTTTACAATAATTACTTTTGATAAAAGTTCGATACTTACCAGGCAAATAGGCCTTTTCAAAATCTTGTGACTGACTTGGGACTGAAATTTGCTAGGCAACCCATATGGATTATATTTATTGACATATTAAACTAAATATAAAATACGTTTCATCAAATAAGCATCTCGGTGAAGGTCGTTGTATATCGGGATCTTATACTATATGTGACTGATGAGGCCTGAGATTATATATTTCTGCACATTATGACAAATGATTTTTTAGACCAAAATATACATAACCTGAACAATGATTATTTTATGGTAATCAAAGTATGTACATCTCAGAGATAAACGCTATATGAGGTTGATAACTAGGTGGTTTTGGCAGTATTACTTGTATGAGTAACATAACTAAATAAGTATGGTAATAACTATAAGTAAGTATTCTATTTCTTTTGGAGATAAGATTTACATAAGACATAATGTTAATAATTAATTCTAGCGATCAAAAGTAAACGGTATGAAAGTCTCGCCTTAATATTAGGATTTTGTCTTGGCAACAAGCCTTATTATGCCTGTGTTAACAGCTCGTTATTTCTTAACCAGGTCTCTTGCTATTCGGCCGAAGTCCAAAGAAGGCAAGACAGATGGAACATCAGATAAGAAATCGGCAGGTGCTGAAGGAATACGTATGCAGGGTTGACGGTGAATTTCTTGAGTGAGTATTTCAAATTTAAATAATTTAAGATAATTCTAAAGAATAGAATTCTGTTCATGACGTTAATATATTTTTATAAGTGGCGATATTACTATTGTTATGCTGTCCCTGGCATAAGTAAAATGCCTATTAACAATACAGTATTTCTTCAATTTATGCTTTCCGATTGTATGAGAATGATTATTTTATAATTACATACTTACTATATTTTAGTAAGGGGCTAGCGCGGTTAGTATTAAAATGGTAAGAATGGGAATAAACAAATATATATATTTAAGATTTGAAATATTTTTAAGATTTCTTTGTTCTTCGGTCAGTAAATATACTTATTATTTTAGTACAAACAAAAATAAAAATGTTGAAAGTTTAATAATCGTGTCGAGGTTTATATGAAATAAGTTTGTCATTTTTTCTAAACGAAACGAACGTCTTTGTGGAGAAACGAAAATGTTAATAAAAATATTTTTAAAGTCGAGGAATGCACAATAAGAACCAGCTCATTATTAGAAATAACAAAAATGTCTGTTTATAACACGTTTTGTTATAGGTATAGATAGTTCGTTATAGATTAATAACAATATAATTTATCATAGCACCTTGGTACCATCTTGCATATATACGCGTAGACGGGACATAATTTGAGGGCTTAAATCTTGTCGGACGACGTCATGCAAGATTTAATGCATTAGTTAAATACATATTGTCTGGTTGTTGATATAATTGGAATATAGATTTTCATAACAACCGTATAAATAGTATATAAATGTTTTATGCTTAAAAAGTAGAATCTGTTTTAATATATTGCTATTTTAAAAGAGTACCGAGAGTTTTTTACGCCGGCTTTTTCTCTCGGCCTACAACCTCTGTCTTCTTTGCCGATGAGTAGGGATGCCTACAAATTCAAATTTAATGACGTGGAATAAGTGATACTTGTATCTTATGTTCCATAATAAACATATTTTATTTTTTATTTTATTTTTATAAAGGTAAAATGAGATAGTGACGTATCTTTACGTACTAATAGAACCCTTAGTACGTTTGTAGGTTTAAATGGTTGAAACTACTCAAAGGTTTTAGTGCGGTTTTCATCAATAAATTGATTTAAGATTAACGTATAATATATAATAATAGTTTTGAAAAAAAATTTTTTTTTCTCATCATGCACTTAAATCTAAGAAACTGAGATTTCATGTTTCCTGAACGGTCGGATTGATAATGATAAAAATAAGTTTTAATCTATAACTTTTAACTTAACTCCATCTTGCTCTGTTATGTAATCATGTAGTTTCCATTTTAAGTTATACAAAGACTTTAAGTTAGATGTTGGCAAATTTACACGCTATGACTCTTATTGCAAAATTAATACTAAATTATGCGTTAAACGCTGTAATTATAAGCCACACAACACTTCATCAGTATCGATTGTGCTCAAGGAACATCTTAGTGTAATTAGCATTCAAGTGTTACAGTATTGATGTAATGAACTAATTTGCTATAATAACATACTTATTTTATGTGGTAAGGAAAAGTGCCAAAGGAATTAAATATGCTAAATATCAAAATTATTATATGAAAATTTTCTATCTCCAAATCGCTTTTGATCTTATTTTTAATTATAGCGTGATGCTTGATTATTAATAACGCTCATTTCTTTGACTGCTTCAGTATCCCTACCTCTGGAAAATATCAATATTTGTCATTGTCAAACCAACTTGTACCTATATATGTGTTTGTATATATACCTACTGTTAAAAAACGGTAAGTCTGTGTCGTAATTAGGACATGATATTTTAATATCGTATATTGAAGAACAATATGTGAACGAATGTCACATGACCTGTTTTAAATGTAGACCAGCTTTTTACAACCTGTAATAATAGAAATTACAGCTCTACGGTCACTCTGTTATCATCGTAGTTTGCTACGTTGTTTTCGTAGCACTATTATGAGCTACGATTTTTACTATAGAAATTTCATTGTATTTTTTATTGTTTTTTATTTTTATAAAACAATATACCTGGTGAGGTGAGGAGACCTGGTGTTAAGTGCTGCTCATGGAAAGTCATAACGCCGGAAGGCTCGCGAGTGCGGTGTCGGCAGTATAATTTGTATATATATGTTTATTTATATTTTCATACGTACCAGTCAATATGTGTTTTATTTATGATATTCGCTATTTTTTTATCATTGATTCAAGAATAAGAAGAATTCTTTTCTATAAATATCTCTTATTCTAAGGCTTGAAGAGTCTTTCTTCAGCCGAGATTATTAATTTGTTATTTTATTTAAAAAAAATATTTATTTTTCAGGGAAGAGATCGAATGCACAGAACCAATAGAAGTTGTAAGCTACAAGATCGGTGTATGCAAAGTATCGCCAAAGGGCAAGGACTGTTCTACAACGTTTAAGAGGCTTGGTTTCAACCCTCGCACCAACACCAGTGTAGTGCTGTGCCGGCCTAAGACCGGAAGAATGCATCAGATCAGAGTGCACCTTCAGTATTTGGGTGAGTAATTCCTATCTAACCGTCTTAAATAAATTATCAATATATAAATTTGATCAGTTTGGATTTTAATTTGGTGTGAAATTTTGTATATATTTCAACTAATTTCTCGGAAGCTAGAATTTGAAATTATCAGGTTCATTCCAACTTAGGGTACAGTCCAAGTTTCATCAGAATCGGCTTAGTACTTTTTGAGATATGGGCATCCACGCATTATAAAGGCACCAAGCCAATAATGTTGGCAGATATTTGAAGTCGGTTTGATATTTGTAAATTACTTAATAAATTTTTGTCTTTCAAATTTAAACTTTGAACTAACGCGGTGGTGATGACAGTACCAACACATCCGAACCATGTTTCTAGATTTATATAGTTGCTAAAAAATTAATAATAATAACTGATTTACTTTAGACTACAGATCCATTCTACGCGCATTTTTTAATTTATGCGAACATACATTTCCATGACATACACACATTCTGTATTAACTGAAACAACATGAGACTGGCCAAACAATACCTATACCCGCCAAACAAAGCGTAAATTTGTCTGCCCGCAGCAGATTAATTCAAATAAAGGGCGAAAATATTTTTTTCTTAAACAAGCAATACTGGCGGGCCATAAAAAATGTTTTCTTAATTAAACAAAGGTATCTAACGGAATTTGAACCACAGTTTTGACGGTATATTTTTATATGTTTTAGTTGTGAAATGAGAATACTGATATTCTAATTCCGTAATATATACGCTTAGTATTTAAAACAACCATTAACACTGAATAAGTAATGTGCTTTAATATAGCTCTCGGAAAGTAAGCCCCTTCATCAGAGTAAGGATTTCGTAGTTATTTTTACGTAAGCCCCTCTAAAACTTTACGAACTACGATACAGTTCAACCCATACTGTTAGTTGCGAAACTAAAAAAGCGCAACTTAATTAGCTGACTATGAGAGTCCTACTAAATTGGATGTTGTATCTTACAACCAACGAATTTCTGATAAACTTTTTAAATTAAAAACAGTAAAAAATATTTTTTATTTCGTCACGCTAATTAGCTTATCATTATGAAGGGACGAATTAATTGTTTGTTGAAACAACAAGTTTTAATCGACTCCACGTATAGTGGTTTCTGGTTTATAAATTATGTCTTACACAAACGGTCTGGTCACGAAATACTTGTTCTTGTAAAAATTATAATGGAGTTATTTAACACAAAAACACTATATAATCTCTTAATTTTAAGTTAACTTAAGTTTTCATAAACGGTTTTCTCATAATCGCAGGTATATCCTAGTGCAAAGTCCGTATAGGCCTCATGGGTGGGTCGTAGAGATACATATATGGGACGTTAAACCTAACAAAATCGATATATTAAAGATATATGTCGTAACTATTTTATCATGAACTGTGGCAAACCGCCAGTCATATCCACTAAAGAACTCTTTTTGCATGCAATTATGAAGTCTGAATAGTTGGCGAAAAAGTTTCAACTTTCGTGTTGCCAATTTTCATTTTCAGTGCTTGTTAAAATTTCTTTTTTAATTTTCTACCGCTGCTCTTCACAATGGTACGGCCACAAGCGTCCGATGTTTTTTTTTTTTTAATTCAACAATACCTGTTTTTCTACGTCAAATAAATTATGCATTTAATTTTAGCTGCACTTATTTTGCTTGGGTTAGATTATTACAGTTCTGTAACACTCCATTAAATAAAAGTATGGACTTTTTCAGTTCTTTTTGAAAGGATTTTGAGTGTACCTGGGTTTTTATATCCGTGTTGAAAGTAATTATGACATACCTGGATGAAATATATATAAAGCGCAGAATTATTTTCCGCAAACACTTTTTATCCATTAATGTAATATTTGTGTTACCAACATATTAACCAGTGGCGCTACAACGTTAAAGTTTGGGCCTGAGATTTCAGAATCGTAATCATTTGTTTTTTATAAAAGGCAAGTAGTTGATCAGCCTTTTGTAGCTGACATACGCCGCCGACTTGTTGGTTTTAACTAAGGCATACATGCCGGTGTTCATACGAGCGAGTGTTAAGTTCGCAGATAGACGATACAATTACCTCCGGGGTGAGAGTCGGTCATTAATGCCACTAGGCCAACACTGCCTATAACATATATAACATGTATGATCTCATATATAACTATGAGCAGTTATATAAATAATACCCCTTGAAGGCTCATGTGCGGTCAGGATATGCAGAATGTTATAATATTTTTAATTTATTCGTCGTTTTTTACAAATCAGGTTCTTAGGGTGAGATCTATAGTGCGCACTTAGACTTTGCTCTGACTTAACTATCGAGCTAAGACACAGTCGGTATTTATAGAGCAAACTACGAATCTCTCCCTAGTGTTGGCTTAGCTTAATCTCAAGTCCACGAAATCGACGACTTACCAAAAACTTTGACTATAAGCCTAACAAAAATAATGGCCCAAAATTTGCTTTACCATCATATCTTTTACTGGACTTTTTATTTTTGTCGGTTTTTAATGAACGGTGTTGCCATTTTGTATCGGAGTTCCATAGACTTTGGGAAAAATAGAATTTGAATTCAAAGAAATTATAAATGATCTTGATAAATACCTATGAAATGCATGAAATAAAATAATTACACATTATTATGGTATTTATTGTTGTTTATTTATATTATTTATGTAATTGTTCAAACCCCATTTTTGAGAAATCTTAAAAATAACTGGTGTGATTTTGTATGTCACCTGGCAGCCCTGGCAATTGGCATATTATAGTGACAACGAAATTCAAACTATAACCGAACCAAAACATTGCGATCCGTTCTACGTAATAAAATTATTGTCATCTTTAAATAATTAATACATTTTCTAAAGGTTACTCGTGAATTTCTAGTTATTGCAATAATAAAATAAATGAATACATAAATAACAATAAATTGAAGATATATGTGTACCGTTTTAGATTTTTAAATATTTGTTATTGTTAACTTTTTTAAAGGATAATAAACAAAGTATTGCATGAAATGAAACATCAATTTGTATTTTGACATTTTCTGTCTTAGCTTGGGCTTAGCTTAATCTCACCGTTAAAATGTCTATAAATACGAAATCATAGTTTAACCTTAGTGTACACTAAGCAAAGTTTTTCGTAAGGTAAGTCTGAGCAAAGTCCAAGTGCGCACTATAGATCTCACCCTTAGTGCCAACTAATCATTTCAACTTAGTATTATTTTGAAATGTGTTATTAATTTGCTGCAGGTTACCCAGTAGTTAACGATCCGTTATACAATCATCCTGTATTCGGACCGCTACGGGGCAAAGGCGGTGATACGGGAGGCAAGTCTGATGAGGAGTTAGTGAGAGATCTGATTGCCATACACAACGCTGAGAACTGGCTCGGCGTGGACGCTGCTGATGATGATATGCTCTTTTCTAAGCCTCCTACTGATGATAAAGGTAAAGTGTTAGACCGTTTTGGAATTAATCTGGGAGCCGTGTCTACAAACAAATACATGACTGTCGGATAATAAGCTTGATGAATCATCGTAATTTTGATTTAAAATCCATTGTTTTGATTTTCGCATTGTTTATTATTTTTTAACTAATTTTTGGCAAATTCGAATATAATTTGGCCCACTGATCCAAATTGTTTCGGGTATTAAGTCTTGATTACCCATTTGTGACTGATTAGTCATTGTTTATAATTGTTACAGTTGGCGAAGATGAATGCGATACAGGACCAGCGTCACGAGAGTCTTCACCAAGGTTGGAGTCGCCGGCTCCTGGGATAACCCCATCTACAGTCATGACGCGTAAGTTTTCACTTGCAATAAACTTGTGGTGACTGGTCGCACTTGAATTCGTGTATGCGGTGGTGATGTTAGTTATTTCGACTATGTATTTGCGTGTTGTTCCCACGAGAATGTAAGTGCGTGCTCATATTTCACCATGCCTACTGCTGATAGAGGACAAATCTTTGTTTTTAATTATTAATTAACTATTAATAACTTAAGATGTCATAGAACGGAAGAGAAGAACTCTCTTCCGTTCGACGCTTTTGATTTGAGAACTGGCAGTAAATATAAAATTAGACGCATTTAGCATTTAATATGTATTTCTTTTTTACGTTCATAAGTGTACATTGTGTTACCTAAATGAATAAATGATTTTGATTTGATTTACACAGATTATTAAAAGAAACAATATATATTTCTTAGTGTGGTAGTAGTGGTTAAAGTATAATTTTAAACTCTTAGAAACACCAGTAATATTTCCTTATGCGCAGGCAATATTGATTTTAATGTAGGAATCATCGTGAAAACTTGTGTCATCCGCCATCCAATTTGCACTGGCCGTGTCGTCATTGAAGGCCTACCTCCTAATTATGAAAACCTAATTAATAGATTAATAATGAGGATTATTAATCCAAACGCGCTAAAGGCTCACCAAGTGATACCGCCACTTCTGACACACATACTGGCATTTCGAAATAATATTTAGGACATATAATATCTGTTCTCTTATGTGTTTCATTTGTCTTATTAATAATTTCATTTGTTTAGCGACTCTAGCCAGTCCGTCGAGTGCGTCAGAGGCGCCGATTGAGGAGATGTGCAACATTGCACATTCGCCAGTTCTATGCAACGATGACTCTAGTGACGCTAAGGTTAGAATTTTAAATAGTCGTATATCAATTTTTTTACCGTATTTTGTTAATAAAAGGTCATGTTAGCACGTTTTACAGACTAAAAGATGTTGAGGGAATCTATAATCTGATTTTACAGTAATTTCTGTGACTTCCTATTAAGCAAATAATAATATAAGTAATACTCTAAATATTAATCTGAATAGAAAGTCAATTTTCTCCGACACTCAAATTAAAACACCGAAAATACAAGGCGCATTGCACAGCAAAGTGCCTGACAGTGGATAGAACAGTGGACTAATTTGTATTATATTATTGACTATACAATTGCATATATAATTAAATATAACATAACGATTTCAGTCGGACAAAGTAACCGTAGCGACACAGACGGGATGCAGTACTCCTGGGGCGCCCCCTCAGGCCCCAAGTGGGTCAAACGGGTCTAGCCCTTCAGACGCGCTGACCGCTGATCCCCATTGTTACGAGTGCAGGGTGCGCTATCGCGACCCACGTCCTAGGGACCTCATTATGTATCTGCATGCCTGGAAGTATAAGGTAAAGATTTATGGGTCCAATAATTATCTTATTTGTTTATCCGTCAAAATTGTTCCGTAATTCGAGTGTAAGCATTACTAAGCATGGTCTTAAATTTCAAAGAAAACATTTTCATCTCATAATAAATATGTTTTTTATTAATAGGGACCAGGTTGGGAATACGAGACGGAACTTCCTCAATGGGCTGACGTTGAATGGGAGGAAGCGGATAGTTCATAGTTACAGCAAATTGTACCACTGGGGACGCTTCTTGCGGCTTTGCGGGTGTAAAGTGTAATATTTGCATGGCAATTATCTTACATTGTTAATGGCAGCAAATTTGATCGTTGATACATGATCGTTGATAACATTGATTGTTGATAATTGTTGATTTTCATTCATCATTAATACCAATGAATTTATACATTTATCGTTGATTGGTAAAAATGATTATTGTTGTGTTATTGAAAATATGACAATAAAATAGAAGTATTCTGGTCGTTTCTTTTCTTCTGACACACATTATAATCTTGGATTTCTTTTTTGATTTTGTAAAAAGTTGGTAATGAGTATTAAAAAGATATTGCCATGTAATTCAACTTTGTAGTCGCGGGTTGTGACCCTGGTGGAAAGATGTAAAATCATCGTGGCTGTTATAACTTATCCAGATAAGTTTTATAATTAATCTAAGGTAGACGTAAGTTTTTTGATGACAGTTGCAATTATGCAAATTTTTTGTGTGTAGAGTTTATTTTAAAATTACAATTTTAATAAAAGTACCTACCACCAACCTACATTTTATGGAGGGTAGACTTAAAAAATATTTCTTGATCAATTAAAATTGATTTTAGTGTTAGCTGGTTTTTTTAGTTCCTATCGGCCTATGTTTCAAGCTTTTGTAGATATTGTAAAAATATCAGTAATTAATCGCTTTAATATAGCAGGGTCTTATAAATATCATCTCATAATTATTTCCCTGTATTATTTGGCATATTATAAAATTGTAAATCTGGACCAGGTAAATTTTCTTAAACGGTTAAAACTAGCGTTTAAATAAAGAATAGTAGTATATAGAGCCACGTTAGGGAAAATTTCTTGAACAAACGTAACAGTGCAGTGATATCTGCGCTGTGATTTTTAACTGTTATTCATCAATGTTAAAATAGCAGTTATATTTCATATGACTTTTCACTTGTCTTGTAACCTTAGCGTGGCTCCTGACGTAGGCGAATCATTAATGTAATATTAAAATTTTGACGTTTTGGCTTCCATAGTGTAGTTTGTAAATAAATTATAATTTCATTTTCCGCATAATATATGCATTTATTTAAAAAAATACCAAAGTAAGGAGTTTCTAATCTCCAAAGATGAAAATGCCAGATAGTCCATAGAAGCAGCACATTTAAAGACATTAAGTTTTTTCATAAGTTTGCGTGTTTTGTCGACGGCTTAATGGATTCTAAAGGACTAGAACGTTTGAGTCGTCGACTTTTAGAAATAAGAATCAATTTAGTTTAGTTTTTTGGATTGTTCGTAAACGTAGATTCATGTAACATTAGCAAGTATTAAAATAAAAGACAATTCTTACTGTAACTTTGATAAAAAAAATATTTTCACGAGCTTTCTATAAATTAATTCTATGGAAATATATATTTTTCGTACTTTTAGTGTAGACATAGTGCTTTATCGTACCTATTGTTCTGTTAAAGTTCTCTAGTGCTTTGGAGTAAGCGTATATTTTGCGGAAGAATACCCTACCTTAACCTAACTTTGATTTCCTGTACCTGACATTTGACATATTCATAATAAACACTAATTTACATCACTAACACAGGTAAAAATAAAAGTTGATATGATGAAAATGGTTTTACTGCTAAGAGCAGTATCTTGGAGCTGTAATACTATTGTGATAATTACTAAAATTAACTCGATTCATAGGTAAATTCATGATGCAGTAATTGGCACACACAACGTCCACAGAATATAAACAAGATTGTACTTGTGGAATTTTGTATCGGATCACGTTTTATACTTGCGCTGCCTACATTACACTTCTGCCTTTCTTAATCAGTAAGCAATTAATTCAATGTGCAAACGGCTACGCAATGTAAGGTGAACTATCTATTGGATGGAACTAATCCAAAACCTGCGAAAATCTTTTGTTACGTTTAAGGTGGGTTATTAAAGGTTGAACTTACTCTATCGCTGCTGTAAATGTGCAAGTAGTTCGTTAGCGACCGATAATCTGTTTTGGGATCAACTCTTATTGGTAAGATTTTTTATAGTTATCGGAAACATTATCTAATTTTCTTCTTTTAGTCGCTAAATGTCACTCACGGATTGGTTAATTTACTTATACATGAAGATATGGTTTTTAGCAAAATTCTATAAATGCGCTTAGAACAAAATTTATTTTGTTATTTGTGTCAAGATAATAAAGAAACAAGGGCTTTTATACATCAAATTATTAAAAAAATCTAAGCGTATTTATCTCAAACTAAAATATATAATGTAAAATGGTATACAATGGCATATCACCCTATAAAGCCTATTTCTATATGTCGTAGGCTTGCATATTGTTGTATTTTTATAGTATATAAGTATTTGTTTATGTATAAAGCTCGCGTACACTTCTTTTTTTACATCATTTGGAGCGCTTGAGCGGTTTATTTATTTGTAAGAAATTTTCATGTGCCTTCAAAATAATGAAAAAGTTGATATTGATAAAATTGTAAACGTTTTTCCGATTTTTTTATTAGGATAGGTTTGGGATGAGCTAGGGTTGTTCAATTGGCACAACCCTATCTCGATATAGGCACAATTTTGCACATTTTAATCATTTGCGTTGTTGGTAATTGCCGATTAGTGCCATAATGGCTAAATAAGTCACTTTTACGGTTGCATATATTTCGCAGAACTTACAAAATAATAAAAAAACATTACTATCGTGTCATATGGCCAAAGTTTATATATAAAAATGACGTAGTATACTTTACTGAAATATACCTTACAATCGGTGTTAATTGTCATCAATCCTTTGACATAACGTAATTGGTTAGCGCCATCTGTTATCACGGAATAAATATTCCGACAGAAGACATCGTTTAATTGTATTACTAGTTATTCGTATCCTGTGGTATCAAAGCGGAAAACAAGTGGATTGGCAATCCCTCGATGTAAAGTACTCGTCAATAGATCATGAAGCGTCATGAAAAATGTATGAGTCGGTTGCAACACTTCTTACCATATTGGATAGTGATGAATTCCGAGTTGCATTCAAAAGATCGAATAATTTCCATCGATTTACTATTGAACACTGTGTCTTATTAGCATGGAATTGTTTAAAATTGGAACTGAAAAGTCGATTTATTAGTTTAATAACATTTTTAATAATCTGTGTTTACACAGATCTCTTATTCCGTAAACACAATTTGACACAGAGCACGAAGAAGTACTAATTTAATAAGTTGACTTTTGATATATTTTTATCGTGTTTATAATAACACCAATATTAGTAACATCATAAATGTAATCTATTCTGCGAAAAATATGAAATCGAATGGTTTTTCCAATGTTGTGTTTTTAACGAATAAAGAAAGACATTTTTTGTTATTTTGTATAAGTATTTGGTAATTAAGAATACATAGTGTCTCCTTCTTTAGATACGTGTTGTAATGATCATGTTTCCACATAAAATTAATTAGAATAAACTTCATCATTGAATTTTATTGTTTTATTTATTGTTTATGTAAGTTATCACCCTTAAAACAACAGTATCTTCTATAGTTTAAACTTGACGTATGTGCTGTGTACATTATATGTTATGGATTAGATGGCACAAAAGCTGTAAGGAGTTTTTTAATTTGGCAAAAACAAGGCAAAGACAAAAATGATAACATATTTGAAAACAAAGTTTAATCTAATCACCTCTATTACATTTTTTTAAATGTCTGTAGTTGAAGTAGTAGTGTGTTTTGATTAAGCAGTGAATATTATCCCTACATACATACTGTCTGCGCTCTTTATTGCGTCATTCAAGTTCCGAAGTTCCCTAGACTTTAAACGATAGCTATCTGTTTAAAATCTGCTAATAGTTCTCGTGAAACACTGCAACTTTTTGGTAGAATTAAAAAAATAATGATTGAATCTGATTAGATTCAAAAATTCAAAATTATATTAATTATATTCATATACTTAAACTCAAACTCAAATTATCTTTATTCATATAGGTAAACAACTACACTTATGAATTGTCAGAAAGAAGTTAAAGTAATTGTAAATTTACATTTACTACCAGTTCGCAAGTCAAGGGCGTAGAGCGGGTAAGAAGAACTGGCAAGAAACTTTCCGCCACTCTTTTTAATCGCCAAGTATTGTCATACAAATTGTTTGAACTGGAGCAAATCAATCCCAAGGATTAGGATCATTTAAGTATTCGTCAAATTTATAAAAAAGCTTTATTGATTAATTGCCGTTTAACGAGGGCTTTGAATTTATTTAGTGATAATTCTCTAATTTCGCTTGGGAGTTTGTTGTAAAAACGAATACAATTTCCATATAAGGAGTAGTTTATCTTTTGGAGCCTAGTTGTTCGTACACTCAAATTAGTTCTATTTCGCGTATTATACTGGTGAAAGTCACCATTTGTTTTAAAATCGTTTATATTTTTTTGGACATACAACAAGGCTTCAAGAATATATTGACCAGATAGTGTCATAATATTTAATTCCTTAAACTTATTCTGTACCGACTCCCTCGGAGAAACACAACAAATACCCCGAACAGCCCGCTTCTGCAGTACAAATATGGATTGAACCTCTGCAGCAGCACCCCAAAGTAGAATACCGTAAGACATAACGCTATGAAAGTAGCTATGATACACAATTTTAGCCGTGTCCTTATCAGTAAACTGTCGGATTTTCTTTACTGCATGCATGCTGCTGAGCTCGGCCTATTCGAAAGAGTCTCTATGTGTGGGCCCCAATGTAGTTTACTATCTATAGGTATGAAATACCCAATGAAATACCTACTTCTAATTTTACATTTACTGTCAGTTGTCAAATCAAGGGCGTAGAACGGAAGAGAAGAACTGGCAATAAAATCTCCGCCACTCTTTTTAATCGCCAAGTTTTTTTTTACACAACGTTTGTAAGGAGCTGCAACCATTACATCATGTTCCACATGACATCTTAAGTAATTAATAATAATAAAATAAATTAAAAACAAATATTTGTCCTCTA